TAGATGCACTCCACTGTACATAGCAAGCCCTTTTTATTGTAGTCAAGCACAATTACTAACTTTCCTAACACCAGAGATCAGGTTCAGAAGCTGTTTGACCTAATGTTTGTGGCCTAGAATACAGCCCCCAAAACTATTTGGTTTTATGCATATATACTTTAATTGATGCTGGTGGTGCAGGAAGCCAGAAGGATCCCCTTCCATGCCTCAAAGTCATGCACCAAGTTTGTTGTTTTTTTCCACATCCCTGCCTGCTCCAAATACAAGGAAATGTATCAGAAATGTTTGCTAATCACTTTTTCCTGCAGTGCCTTTTCAGAACAAGTGATCCAGGGCAGTTTTTGCCCATCTGGCTCTTCATGGAAATGTCCTTCCTGGATGATGGCTAATTAGGCAATATAATAATTTATCCTTCTAATGAACTGATTTACTCAGCAAAGCAAACAGTATGCTGGTGTATTTATTCGTGGCATTTATGTAACTGTTTGCACATAGGTATTTCAGTGCCTGTGAAATAATTATGATATTGAATTAGCATAAACATTGCATTTCTCAGCTCACAAAATGTCTCCTTTTGATTTTGGGGCAAAAAGAAGTGGGAGGATGCTTAAACATTTGAGAATGAAACACACTCATCAACTGTAGCTCAGTTTATGAACTTCAGAGGTTAAGCATTAGCTACAAAAAATCTTTTAATCAAGATGGATCAAGCTTCTCCACTTAAACACATTATCCAAATTTGCAGTCTTCTCTAGTTAATGAGTCAGTCTGAATTAGCCTTTCAAAAGAATTAAGGGAAAAGAATCAACACTTTGATGGTGTTTGAAGCACAAGTTGAAGTAATTGAATCAATGTGTTAAATCTTAGATGAGATCTCCTAATCCGTAAAGCAGTGATGGAGAGCTGTGTGACTGAAACCAGATGCAGTGGCTAATTTGGATGAATTATTCTGTGCAGGGAGGTCCCCATCAATAGCAGCCTGCCTGAAAGCAGAATTTGCTATATTCACCCTGCTTGGAAGAGGAACAATTAGGGTTGAAATGTGCCATTTGTTGTTGGTGCATTCCCCTGTGACTTTAAGACAGATTTGCAGTTTTTAGGTCAAAGCTCATACCTGAATGTTGTTGTGAAAACAAGACTCAGAGTGAGTCTCCTGGGACACCATCAGGGAGGGATAATAAAACTTTTATCTTTCCAGGTCTCTGGAGTGAGATCAGTGAACAGACAAGCTCTCTGCATTCACACTGCAAACCTACTCTGAAGTTTGCCCAGATCATTAATTTGGGAAATTCCTACAGCAGCACACAAGCAGAAACCCTGTCTCCTCAAAGAATAGTTTAGAGGGACCCATTTTAACTTATAATGGACCAGATCTCAAGATTCTGAATGTGTAGGTATAAACGGAGATGTTTGAGCACTTTCCTGTCAGAATAAGTTGAAAAAAGGAGAAGTCCTCAGTCTCCTGAGTCCTTGTATTAGTCCTTGTCCCCTGGCCACCCACTCTGTGTGTGAAACTCCCTTTGAAGCAAAGACCACATTACTTTTGTTTGAAATTTCATTAATGGTCAGAGTCAGTTTCTGTAATTAAGATCTGATGAAACAACAACAAACCAAGCATTTTCTTCCAACAAAGCACAAACTTCAAAGCTATTTATATGCTTAAATGTGACCTGTAAAACCACCCAGAACATCCTTTGATGTTCTCCAACTGCGAGTGACTCTACTCAGTGAAAAAACTCAAAGGACAAATAAAAGTGGGCATCAAAACCCGGCTCTGAAAAAAGTACAGCTGTGTTCAAGGAGGGAGAACAGTTCTCTTTATGGCTGCTGAAAGCTGCAGAAATTCACAAAACCCTTCTGAACTAGGAGCTCCTTAAAAGCAGCACATTCAACCTGCCAACAGGGGCTCTTCCCAAAATGAAATACAAAAAAGAGCTGAGTCCAAAGCTGTTCCAGCCACAGGAGGGATGAGGCACAGCCCCATCAAGGCCCTGCACACCTGGGAGTGAACCCAGGAGCTGAGGAACAACCCAGGGATGTGTGAGAGAACACACTGAACTGGTTTGAGATCTTCATTCAACAGGTGCATTAATTTCCTCACTTGTTTCTTCTATTCCTTATTCCCTCCCCATTCTGTGAATTGAACCTGGGCACCCAGGGGTGCCTGCCCTGGGCTGTGAGCCCCTGCTCCTCCTGTCCCTGCTGCAGCTGAGAGCTCCCAGGGCAGCCAAGGGGCTCAGGGGGATTTGCTGTCCCGGGGACACGAGTGAAGGACACAGACAAAGTTTCAGGCACAGTTTAAAACTATTTTTCCTTCCAGCAGAGAGAAGGAAAAAATAAAAAAGGGGGTGGGAAATGCCATGCAGAATAGAGAAGATCTGAAGAGAACATCACATAATGTAAGCAGATTTTTGTGTGGGAGAAATGAGCATTGACAAAATTCATGTCTGAAGGGAATTTAATTGAAAGATTAAATGCAAGTCAAGACTCAGAGACCCAAAAGCAAAAGATATCATGCTTTAAAAGTAGGAAGTCATGCCCTTGCTTAGAAGAGACTGTGTTGAACCACGTGCCTTCTACTGGCACAGCCTGATTAAACTGCTTATAACAATCTGAGGCCTCATTAACTATGAATTTTTAAAGTTTGTTTTTTATAAGAAGACAAAGCACATGTCAAAGCAAGTACAAGATGGTTATAGCCAATCTCTTTTCCAGCACACAGAGATATGCTCCACTGATCACTGACACCAAAAAAAAAAAAAATAGACTGCACTGGGTTTTAGAGGTGAGAAATTGAAAAGATCTATTAGGTCAGCTTGCCCAACTCCCAGCTAAAGTACACAGCTTTTTCCAAGGATTGTTTACCCAAGTTTCTAGAAAAATTTCCCTTGGACTAAAGGAAGCATTGTATAATGTTCTTAGTAACATCAATATTTTCCCTGTGCTGAAATAGTGCTGTGCTTCATTTCTGTGTGTTTAAAATATTATTTCCCTGGTAGATAGGGGTACAAGGTTCCCACAGCCCCAAGCTCACATGGTCCCTCTAAGAGCTCAGCTGGCACTGATAGTCCCCCATCCTGGTCTCCTGGAGGAGAGGGTTGGAGGCAGCTCAGAGAACCTGAGCAAAGCAAAGGGAGCAGACTCTGCCTGTGGATGGGACCTGCAGCAGAGCTGCTCCCACCCCTGGACAGCCCCTGCCACTCTGGGCACAGGCAGGGACCTGTTCCAGGCTCCCATGCGCTTCCATGGGCTGCAAACAGCCCCAGAGCCAAAGCAGGAGGAAATCAGGTGATGGAACTTCCACAGCACATCCATGGGCATTGGCAGGAGCTTTGCTGAGCACAGCAAGGCACTGCTCGAAGAGAAAAACCCCTCAATATTAATATTATTACTATTAATATTACTATTAATATTATATCTTATGGAGTTTTCTTTAAAGAAGCATTGTGCTTCAGAGTCAGTAAAAAGATAACAAATAATTGCTGAGAAATGCAGGGCACAGTCTGAACCAGGGTTTGATGCCTGAGGGAGCTTCCAGCAGCCCTGGGTGCAGCTCCACCCAGCCCCAGCAGGTTCCAGGGAACAGCAAAACTGTAATTCTGTTTGTTTCAGATTTCTTTTTGAATAAGCACAAGGAATGAGACAGAAGTTGTGAGGGTAAAGAGCTGAACTGTTAGCATATAACTTCTGTGATCAGATAAATGAAATGCCAGAGGATCCAGGTCTGGACATAACAAAAATATAGAAATTACAATCATGCTTCATGCTGTGAGGGCAATTAAAAAAGCAATGACATATATTTACAAATATTTTCTTTATCTATAATGAGAGAAAAAATGATAACAAAACAATGTTGTCTCCCTTTGAAAAGACTGAATTACAATGAAAATGCATTTCAGGATTTTTTTTTCAGCTTTGATGAAGTAAAGCTAGTGGTAAATTGATATGAGAACAAGTCTTACCTTTCTTTTGATCACAGGAGACTTGTTTTTTAACAGTGAAAATCTAATATATTTGAGTGAACTAACTTAGCAGGGAATTACTGCACTGCTGATTGCATATTTTTATAAATAGCAGTTATTAGTTGTTTTCTGTCTGCTTTAACACTGCCAAATTAATTTAACAGTAGATAAATAATGATAGTAGATAAATAATGACTGTAGATAAATAATGATACATATTTACAATACAATACAAATGTTACTGTGCAATGACACAAATACCTGTAATCCTAGAAAGGATATTTATGTTGCTTAAATAAGTCATTTCAAGGGTGACTAACTCTCCTCCTGGCCATAGATTTCCCCACCAGTCACAATATTCTTACAAATGGTTACAATTTAAAAAACTCTGAGCAAAACAGCCACAAAACCCCACAGAATTCTCACACCAAACACTTCACAGAATGTTCCCACCAAAACTCAGATCTGAGAATTTCTGCAACTGTGTGATACAGTGAATCCATTTGGCCTACCACACGAATCATATATTCATAGCCCATAAGAATAAGCCCATAAAAATGGGTTTCTGTTGCTATTTTTCCTTACAAAAAAGCTCCTCCAGGTCCATGTGGCAGCAGCTGGTCCCAAGGGATGCAGCCAGCAGGCAGAGCCAGGCTGGAACATTCTGGCAGGGGAGCAGCTGCTGCCTCACTCTCCCTGCAGGATCAAGCGTGGGAGTCCCAGGCTGCTCTGGCCATGGTTGATGCCTTTTCTCTGTTCCTACACTGCCAGGTGTCTCCTTGCCCTGCCTGGGGCTCTACTGAGCAAAAATTTGCATTTCCACAGCAGCACAACAACTGGGTTGCAAAAAACCTTTTGAGATCATCAAGTCTAACCTATGACCTAACACCTCCTCATCATCACCTAAATCCTGGCACCCAGTGCCCTGTCCAGGCTTTGATTAAACACATCCAGGGACAGTGACTCCACCCCTCCCTGGGCACACAGTTCCATGGCCCAATCACTTTTTCAGTGAAGAATTTTTTACTTATGTCTAACCTAATTTGTTGTGTTGCTCCAGACATGCTGCATCCTCCTGCTGGTCAATGGGGTCAGAGAAGGGGACAAACACTTGGGGCTGTCACCAGAGCTGCAGAGAAATGAGATTTTTGTGTCCCTGGTGCTCTGCAAGGGTGCGCAAGAGGGGCTCAGACCTCACCAGGGCATGGAGTGTGCCTCCCACACCATGGCACAAACAGTGCCAGCTCCTGAGCAACACCAGAGCTGCTGCTTACACTAAAGAGCTTCTCCATTCAGGATGCACCTGATTGCTGTCCCCTGGCACTGCTGCACACAGTGAGGCTCACCCTGCCATTCCCTGGGGTGAGAGGGGCCAGCAGAGAAGCTGCCAAGGTTTGTTCATTATCGCGGCCTTTGCTCCTTTGGCTTGGCCAGGGGGAACAGGCAACATAAAGAATGGGAATGATGGTCTTGCCCAAAAAATGAAGCCTTTAATAGCAAACTAACAAACATAGAAACTGCACAGTAAAGGGACAAGATCTGAAGACCCAGGGTCATGGCAAACACCACAAGATATAGGGGTCTTCTGAAAACAAGGGTCCAACCATGAGTGTGAACTCAGAACGTGACCTTACATGTGACAGGTGCTGAACCAGCTGGGAGCAAGAATCAGAAACCTGACAACATGTAGGATAGTTCTATGAACGTATTGACTCCCATGACCTGGCCAGGTGTCCCTTTTCCAGTGTCCTGTTTGCCATGGCCTCAGGTTGATGCTGTCTGTATACGCTACTGAGCCAAACCATCATTTATCCCAGCAGGATAGAACTCCACACTTCAGCTGCCGCTCCCCTCACTGAACAGGGCCCTTAAATGCAGTGTCCCAGGGTTCATAAAAGCCTTCGACCAGTGTTAGGGAAGGGTTATTGTTGTCATCTTGTTCTAGGGGTTCCATACCTTCTGAGCATTTTCTCATGGGCATCTCCTCAGAGCACTGACTCTTTCTCCTTCCCAAAGCAGCCACTGACTCCAGTGCCCTTCTCACCCAGCCACCCCACTCTTTTCTAGCACTCTGCTTCTCATTGCTTACAGCTGTGGCCTGGTAAAGTCAGGCCTGCTCCTGATCTTTGATAATTGGCCCAGCTGCAACTCCTTAGGGGTGAGATTGCTTTCTACACTAGCTTTCTTTCCTTATATTCTACCCCCCTCCAGGTTCTCTCTGCACTGGCTCTCCTGGCTCTGCAGAGCAGGCAGTTTGGGTGTTGGTTTGGCAGAGGCTGGAGGTTCAGCACAGCTGCAGCCATAATTTGGTGCTGGAGCCAATGCTGGTCATGGCAGGGCCATCAGTGCTCTACAAATATGGCTCTGGGAAAGTTTTCTTCTTAATCATCCCAGTATCTACTAAAATGAGAATTATCATGGCAATTAAGACTAATTAAAATAAATAATGAATGATAATAAGAAGCCAACATGATCTATTTCAATGCAATGAAGTAGAAGGTTTTACTTATTACTCATTATGGCCTAGTTAAATATATTCATTTATCTGGAAATATAAAAGCCCATATTCCAGGAGGATAGCTACCTCACAATTCTTATCTCCTTTCTTCCTCTCTTGAAAAGATAAATGCTGTTGTACTCAATCTCTTTGAAAAACTGCTGAAGAAAAAGCCAGGAATAATTAGATCTGATGGGGCTGGCTGTAAACATTTTCAGAGAAAAATAGAATCCCCTTCAGAAATCATCAAAGTAATTATTACACTACAGGAACTCTAAGCTTGAGAATGAAGTAAGAGAAGAGTATTTGTTTTGGAGGTTATTCTATTTTGGTCAGAAATTGCTGCATAGCCTGTTTCTTATTTTCCTTTATTAATGTTCTTTGCAGCATGGTATTAACCTCCACTAAACAGTTCCTTCTCAGTTTGCTCTTTGCTGTTCAAAACAAACTGCACCTGTTTTTTTCTCACAGATCATTGTCAGATATGGTGTTGGCTTGATTACAGATGGGGTTTGGAGTGCAGGGTCTGTACCAGAGCCACAGTGATTCCCAGGGCTGCTGCTGGGGCTGAGGATGCTGCAGGGCTTGGGGTGAATGTGGGGCTGGGGCTGCAGGAGCCATCAGCAACATCTGTAGGCAGCTGTGGAACCACAGAACCCAGCAGTGCCTCAGTTCCTGACTGTGCTGCAGCTCAACACACAGGGACAGCCAGAGGAGCCATGGAATGAGCTTTTCTCCCAAGATCAAGAGATTTCAAGGTTGCTCAATTCAAAATACATTTTTTTAAATGTTATGAACTCTCTTACAAAATGTGTTTACAAGCTAGTGCCAAATATTCAGCATATTTCTGGTATCAAGGACTCCAGGGCAGGTTTTTCAAACAAATGACAAGTTCAGCTACCATATTCAGGAGGAGCCACCTTCAAAACAAATTTCTCAGGACCTTAGAATACAGCCATTTAAAAGTATCTTTAAAGATCAAATGCACTTCTTCTCTCCCCTAATGGTCACATTTAGATAATATTTTGTGGGTTTTGTGATTTCATTCCCACTTGAGCTGAACAAACATGCCCAGACAGACCTGTCTGTCTGAGTCCTTGCTCTGGTATCAAAGGGTCTGTCTGCCTGAGCTTATTGCAACAAATAAAAATCAATGCATTTTAAATGGAAAATCATTTCCACCTGAATTGCTGTAGATACAGATGTGGAAACAACATTAGTCACAGCTTGCTGGATGACAGGCATTTTTGCCTTGCTGCTGCTTTGTGACTAACACTTCATGAGCAAATATCTGCTTTCATGCAAATAGAAAGCCTCAATCTCCCCAAGTACATGGAAACCATCATTGCAGAATGGAAATGACTCACATTAATGTACTGCACTTCATAACAGCCCTGTGAGATACAAAATTGTCAGATGATAAGGATGTGAGGCGCAGAGATTAAATGATTTAACTAACTCCTCTAGACTGCTTTTTGACAGAGCCAGAAAATGAGCTCCAAATTTTTCAGTCCCCATGCAATATTTTAATCTCAACATTAGTAGCAGCAATATTAGAATAACCTTTCTCCCCTGCACAGTGATAGAGGATGCAATGGGCCATGAGGGATTGCTGCAGACACCAAATCCCCTCTCCAGGAAGGGCTTTGCTTCTTTTCTTTCAATCTGTGCACACCAAGACCAGGCACATAAATACAGAGCAGCAGTGTCAGCCCTCCAGCTCTTGGGCCAAGTGTTAAACAATTTTTAATATGTAGATGAGGCTTTGGCTTTCCTTTGAATCTGGCAGACGAGACTTTCAAGAGCACAATGTCCAACAGGATTAGATGGGGCGGTCTCTGCCCTTCACCAGAGGAACTTTCCAGCTGCTCTTTCCCCTCCCTGCTTCCAGGAGCTCTCTGAGCCTGTCCCAGCCTCACCTTTCCCAGCTGTGCAGCAAATTTTGTGTGACACCGCCGTGTGCCTCAGAACATTTGCCTGCAATTCCCGGGGTCTGTGCCGCATTTCTGGCTGCTTCACTGATTTTTCTGAGCCTTTCCTCCCTCCCTGTTACTTGTGGGGAGGCAGAAAAGCCCCATTACCCTGGAGCTCCCCGTGGTGAGGGGCCTGGCAGCCCCTGCACAGCACAAGTTATCACAGAGAACCCCTGACGTGTTTGTTTTCAAACCAGTCATTTGGAAAAACAGATTAAGGTTTTTTTCAGCTGAAATAGTTCTAATTTATTTCTAGATTGGAGTAACAAGTAAACAGAAATGAACCTGCCAGGTACAATCTCTTCAAAAGAAGTTCAGAAGCTGGGTTTTAATTGTTTTAGTTCTTAAGCAGCAACCTTGGCTACATAAAACTATAAATCACTGGATTTTAATGACTTATGTAATATTTTTCCACAATGCATAGAGAAAAAGACAACAGCTAAAATAACTTCAACTGTGGAGCAGCTATTTCTTTATCCCATTTATTTCCACTCTTCAGCAAAATGAATAAAATGTTCCAGACTAGCTTGCTGATATCACATTCAAGTTTACAGAGCTTTCCTACCTTGAACTTTGCATCAGACCAAGAAATATTTGTAGAAACCTTTGGAAAAGAATGTCCTTGTTTCAGTGCATCTACTGAAACTAGCAATGTTCGACTCCAAGAGCCAATCTCACAGCAATTTGAACAATGTTCAAGTAGTATCAGTATTTATCAGCCAGTACAAAACCTGTTTGCTTCTAAATTATTTTAATCAGTGTCAAGATCTCGGTATTTTGCAGCATTGTTGGCTGCAATATCTTCAGAACTGCACTGGTTTGAAGGGCTTTTTTTTTCCTTTTTTCCTCCACTAAATAAGCTGATTTGCTAAACCAGCCTGTTTAACAGGAGGGTATTGATTCAAAGTTTTTGATGGAAAGTTTTCTGAGGACAGACTAAGAAAAAGAAAAAAAAAGAGACTGAATAAAATGTCTGACCCTCTTGAATTGCAAAATGGGTGCTTTAACTGAATCCTGCTCCAAAAATATGCTTGAAAGTGTGAGTGGAAAGTGGTATGGAAGTAGAAAAAGTAAAATCTACAAAAGATGTCAAAAATTGAAATTGCCATTCTTCAGCCATCTCTGCTTCTGGAGGCTGCTATATGTGAACTAAAGAATGACATTATGAATCATAAAGTGCTTAGAATAAAAATATCAAAGAATTCAGATCAAATAAGTGGTAAGTTCCCTCCAGTAAGATTAAATGAAATTCGCTTTTGACAATTACAGTTCAATAGTACAGCAGACATTTTATGCGATTCTATAATAATTTGTAATTTTGCAGTAGATAGTTATCAAATAATTTTTTCTTCTCTAGATAAATTTACTTCAAAGAGATTGTTGCCAAAACACCTTTTTATTTCCTTTATAAAGAACCCCAAAAGATCCATTCATTAGACTTAATCAAATTGTTCAATGTTGAAAAGGAATCAGGAAACAATTCTATAAAATGTAGGATTAGTTATGACTAATAACCTCAACAGAAATTCAAAGTGATGAGCCACTGGTATGTCTCCCAACATGTATGAAACCTCCTGTCTGAAGTGTCACAGCACTTTCAGAGTGATGCTGGTTTGGGAGCAAAACTTGCTTTTTAAAAGGCATATTTAAAGACATTTATAAAGAGCATATTTTAAATAAGAAACATTCATTAATTACTTATAGTACAATTTTCTATGCCATAGTCTGTTTGTATGGAGCAAGATTTTAAATCTAAACAGTTGAGGAACTTTGTGGTATCCCAGCTTTGTGCCTTTATTCTCAGCTAAATCTGTTTGCATTAGTGGGGTTTGGCTTGTTTGGTCAAAACAATTCCAATTTACAGAGGCATCTTTTGTACAATTTCTGGAGAAAAGAAATCACTTTGCAGTATATCAGAAAGTTTAGGTGTTCAGCACTGTCCATAGTCCCAGTGGAGAAGCAGTCTGCATACCAAGGTAGGAAAATATTAATAATTTAGGGAACCCACTCCAAAGACCAAGGTGCCTGCTATTTTTACTGTCACAGGTGAGCAGACTTTGAATAAGTTGAATTCATGCTTAGAAATCTGCTTCAATACTTCAAGATCAGATGGCTGAAATAAAAATATTTTAATAAGCAGTAGGTTACAATGAGCTGTTTTTCATTAGAATAGATGAAGAGGTAAAGTAAGTCAGATCGTACACTGAAATGTCAAATGACAGCTGACATCATTCACCACAGAATTGAAAGCTGCTCATAACACGAGAACAGAAATTTAATTTCAATCTATTTCAATGTAAATTGATCTTTAAGGGCCATTACATAAAATAATCTTTAGGAATGTGGTTCTAAACATGCCCAGGAACAGCTATTGGACTCTCTGCAAATGGCATCTTTACTTGATGGAGGGAAGTTTACATAACCTGATACAAGAGCTGTTCACAGACCTGGTAGAATCAATGCACAGGGGTGTCATTTTCAACCCAAAAGGTTTTTTAATTTTTTTGTATTATGCAGAGACAACAGTGGAGGATCTGATTAAGTTACTGCTTTACCATCTG